GGGCAGGATGTGTTTGATGGCCTCCGTCTGCTTCTGGGCAGTGGAGAACTGTTGGGCGAAGTCCTCGACCGCACCGCCGAAAAGGCCAACCTGGGATAGCGGAGCGTCGAGCAGACGAGTCCGCTCAGCGCTCCGCGTATCCGCCAGGTTGAGCCACAGATGACGCTCCTGAACCACGCTAGTGGCCATCACCTGACCAACGGCGCGAGCAGCCACTTTCGTTGCCCGGAGAGCAAGGTCAGTGGCGGACCGCAGTTCTTTAAATGCCGTCGGATCAGTCCCGCCCTCGTGCATGTCTCTGAGCAACTTCGCTTGGAAGACCTGCAAAGTGGTCATAGCATGCAGAGCGGAGGCCGCCTGTCCCGCCGCTCTGTAGGATTGCGCCGCCATAGCAGACGAGAACCCACAGGCTTTGGATGGGTGCTTAGGAGGACCACGGGTGGAAGCGCTCTGTGGACACAGCGCATCGCAACAGAGCGCTCCACCGGGGGCATCCCAGTGTACCCACGGGCGGCCCCGCCGTCGAGGGGGGGAAAGGCGGGGAGAGATCGTGCTCTCGAGTGACAAAGGAGCCCCCAAGAGCGCGATAACTCCGCATGCAGCTCGGGAAAAAAGGTATTGGGAGTCGGCCGTGGCTTTGCAGCGGCAGCCTTGTCCAAAAACCAATTATCCATCCGTGAGAGGTCGGGGCAGGATGGAGGTTTCCATTCTAGCCCGACTACTCCAGCGGCTCGAGACAGCATGGCCGTCTCTCGGGATCTTGACGCGGACAACGCTGGGACTCCCGAAGGAAGCAACGCAGCCGGATCTTCCTCTCCCGAGGAATCAAGCCCGCCTAGTGATGCTGTGATAGACATCGCATCATCATCTGGGGCGCTGCTCGAAGCAGCCGGTGCCGCCGAAGAGACAACCGACCGAGTCGAACTAGCGCCGCTGGCTCACGCACTGAGGCGGGAGGTGTGGCCCGAGGAATCGTCGGGGCTTTATCCCACACCGTCACCGTTAGATCGCCCGGTCCCCGGTCGACGGGCCCCCTTTCGTGAAGGAAGGCCGATCGAGTAGGGGGGACCGGGGCTCTCACTCTAGTGAGATCATTGAGCCGCGACCTCAGTGTGGAGATGGTCATGCTCCCACAGAAGGAACATGAGTCATCCACGAACGCTGCTGCTGCATGCTGAATGCCCAAGCAAACAAAGCAGCGTTCGTGACCATCAGATGACGATAGAAATCTACCACATCCAGAAGGGCACGGGCGAACCATCTTTAAAAAGACGTGCCGCGTGCAGCTCTTTTACAGAGAGGAGAGAAATTCACTCTTTCAGCGCTGAGGCTACCAGGAGAAGCGCAAAGTCTGGCAAACCACTGCACAGATCGCAGGCAATGCAGAATCTCGCTGGGTACCGCCGTCACACCAACACTGAAGAGGACGCTCGTCTCGAAGAGTCTTGAATCAGCTTTGAGGAGTGAAGAGGTTCTCTGCTCCGAAGCGAAAACATACTGCGGTTGCGTTCACTTCCTCCTTTTATACTCACGGAGTAGGGCGGAGTACGCTATGCAAATTTCCGCAGCCCCAAGGCATTGCATGCCATTGGCTCGTGTTTAAATACTCGAAGAGGATTGGCTTTCTATGCGAAATCCCCCAATCTCCGTCACTTCTGACGTAACTCGAAGTGACTACGAAAGGGAACTAGGTTATTCAGAGAGTGAGCACAGAGAATCGTCAGTTAACAAGATCGGGGCAGGCAGCAAACAGGCAGAAGTCAGGAAACAAACCAGGATCAAAACCAGAGAAACAAGGAACAGAATACACGCTCAGAAATTACAAACCGTGGCAATGCAATACTTCGCAAAGAGTCCTTGTTTGAGTGTGGCTTATATAGACAGTCTGAAATGAGGTGCAGGTGTGCGTGTAATCAGTCACAGGGATGAGGCATTATGGGAAACGGAGTTCTGGTGAAGTGATCAGTTCTGATGTGGAGTGCCCTCTGGTGATTCTCTGGGGCACTCCAACTGGTGATCGTGACAATAAGCATGTTTGGTATGTTTGGTATGAAAAGTGCTGGGTACAATGACTCATTCATTCTTTTTTCTCTTTCGAGTTGGTTATGTTTTCAAAGATGATGTCCTGTAGCTTACTGATGACGTACATAAATAAAATATCTACAAAGATGTGATGTCCGACCAAACATTTTAAAGTTTAACTGGTTGTTTATGGTTGTAACCACTGATAAACATTACGAGTGTGGATTAGCACCCAGAGAAGCAGGGACAAGTTTGTGTGTTTTTTGTCTTATGAACAACACATTTCAGCGCTAGATCACCTCTCATTTAACAAACTAATGAAATGAATGCTGATAGTTAACTGGAGATGTTTTATTTGTATTGGTACATCCGTGCAGCGAGATGTTTCAAAAGTGGTGGGGACAATATAAGGCTGTGGGTGGGACTGTGATGCTCTATTATGATTGGTTCAGAAATCGTCGGGCCAATCAAATTGCCAGGGTGGGCTTTATATGATGATGGACAGATGATCTGCAGTTACATAATCATCACGTCATCAAACGTATTCCTTTCAAAAATTATTTTCGTGTTTGCAAGTACTCCGCATTCCGCAAAATAATCCTTAAATTCATATGACAAAGTCAGGCTACTCTTTATTGGCCTTTTAGTAAAACCTTTATATGTGAGGTTCAAAGTGCTCTTTAACAGTCAGACTGATCTTTCTATCAGTATCATAATCAATAGGTCATGAAAATAAAACAATTACAGTAATTATAGTTGTCATGTGGCTATAGACCATTTTGCAACATGTAAACAACACTGGTCCAGAAGCACTTCCTGTTTCAGTTTGTAACTGTTTCTTTATTTCACATGTAAAGAAAACATCTTAAAGATGTTTGTTTAACTTTTTGATTCAGTTTTAAATGTTCTGTTGGTTGTATTTTATCCCAGCTTTTATGTAGTGTTAAAAAACTGAAACAGGAAGTGCTTCTGGACCAGTGTTGTTTACATCTTGTGAAATGGTCTATAATGATGTGGCACTTTGCAAAGCATTTATGCTGTATGTTAGCTAAAAAAAATCAGTGCAACAGGAAGGGTATATTATGATCTTTACATTTATAAAGCACTTTTTTGAGTATCACACTAGGAACAGCACAATCGTCCTCCCTTAGAAGCCAAAACTGTAAGGACACATGTAAACTTTTAAATGGACAAGTTATCACATCAGTGTTACCTACATCACAGAATAATGAACTTTCAACTTTTAAGGGAGATTTGAATCTAAACACTGGCCAACCAAATGAACAAGGAACACAAAAGAAAGTGAAAGCAAACTGCACATGACACCGCACCCTAGTTATGCATACAGTAGCAATATTTAAGGAAAACAATTCTGTTTCTTCTCCAGATGAAACTCCAGTGAACTGAAACCTGTGGTATAAACACGTGACTAGTGCAAACAATAACAAGAACAAGACTTTTTTCTTTTCACAGAGCAGAATGTCAACTAATCATTTTGTGTATATTTAGTTTTCCTTTCTATTGTCGCCCAACCTGTGCTTTATATTCATATTGTCCATCTCCATTCATAGCTCAATTATGTATGAGGTAAAACATGCACCCCTCATTATAATACGGACAAAGAAATGTGGAAATAAAGAAATGTGGAAATAGAGAAATGTATAAAAAAAAAAAGAAATTTGGAAATAATACCAAAATGTATAATGTAGAAATGTATAAATGAAAAAAAAATTAATTAATTATACATAATTATACAATTATACATAAGGAAACAAAAAACATTTTTACATTCCTTTGCACCTATATTTATGTATTTATTCATTTATCTATCCGTTTTATTTATCAATTTATTGTTTTTGTTTTATTTATTTATTTATTATTTCAGCAGCTTTGGCAGAGATTAGAGAGAGACTCAATAAACAACATCTCAACACTAAATTATAAAGGCCGTCTCATAGACGCCTGTATAAAATACAAGGCGGTGCATTTCGAAGATATTGGAAAATAAAAGCCCAGGCTATTATTTGTAGTTTTATGGTATTCGTTTTGTTCATATTACATTTTTATTGTTAGTTTGAATTAATTTGACAGAAAGCATTCGCTGATGTTGACCAAGCTAGTGCCATTCAAAGCTGCCAACTCTCACGAATTATCCGTGAGACACGCAATTGACACTTTTCACATGCTCTCATGCCACACATCAATTTTGTCATGCACAGAACAGGACACAGAGACCAACAGACAAGATGGAGTTATCGTATTTTCCGCACTTTAAGGCGCACCGGACTATAAGGCGCACCTATAAGGCTTCACCTTCTTTTGGTGCTCGTAAATGTTACACGACGGATCCCTAGTGTACGTGAACCGAACACGAACACTGTTGAAAGATGCAGTATGTTACAACTTACCAGAATGTATTCCTCATGCATTATAGAGCTGGTAAGTCCCGCCCCTTCAGCTAACCCCGCTGGACCTCTAGGTTGAAAAAGCGTCAATGCAAGTGAATGAGAGAAAATAATTATTTTCTGATCCCGTTTGAATTGTGCCATGAATGTGAACATATGTTGTCTGTGAATTTTTTATATAATTTCTCATGTAACGAGTTTGACAGTATATTGTATGATTCTCTGGCTAGCAGTTGTGGAATAGACATAACGAGAAAGACTACACGTCGCCGCATTACACATTTTCCCTCCACAAATCACGGTTTTAAAAAAAAAATACCATAAGGATGCAAAGGATGCAAGAATAAGATTTTCATAATGTACACTTTTTTTAGGTGACTGTTGTCTATTATTAGATATGGAAGCAATAAAATGTTCAATGCTTTATTTAATTTTGTCACATGGATTGGATGACATGATCTAAACTTGCCATCACACTTGGACACCTGTGTTTCAACCCTTTCCTTGTGTAAGTCAACGCCCTTTTTCCAATTTTACAACTAAAAGTGAAAGTAAATGTTGTTTATGAAGTCAGTGTGTTTCCGTGTCTCATCACTTGAGGTAGAAACTCTAACCTAAGAGAGTGAGAATGGAGTTCCCGGTCTATTTAAGAATTAACAAAGATACAATTAAAACAATAACTCTGGCAACATCAGATGAAGAGATTGGGAAACCCACCGTCAGAGATCTAAAGAAAAAAGCCCTCAGTTATTTCCCTGGAGTAGACGGTAAGTAAAAGTTTCACACTGTTCAAAATAAATGACTTCTTAATAATTGACTTTGTCTCTCTTGTCAGATCTTGAACAGCTGAGGCTGGTTTTTGCTGGAAAAGATCTTGAAGGAGATGAAAAACTTGAAAAATACGGCATTCAAAAACTCGCTGTCATTCAAGCCATAATGAAAATGCGTGGAGGAAAAGGTATCTTTTTCATTTTTCTTTATAAGATTTCACTCTTATAATATAAACTTTATCTCTTTGTCTGTTAAAAGTCACTTTCTGATTCTAATTCATATAAAATCTAACTTTGTTTATATAAAATGTAATGTTATTTGCATAAATTAGTGCCTTAAGAACATATGACCATTACATGAGTAACAATGAATGTATTATTTGCATTAATTAAATGTTTATTAAATGTTCATGTTAGTACATTGTATTAAGTAATGTTAAAAAAACAATGATGAAAAAATAGTATATGCAGAACTTAACATTAACTAAGATATTAAATGCTTTAAAAGAGAATGATAGAGAGATCGACAGACAGACAGAATCTAGTGATTTTATATTGTTGAATAAAATGATTGTATCTTATATCTTGCGACTGGTGCTTGTGTTTCCTCTCTCTCTCTCTCTCTCTCTCTCTCTCTCTCTCTCTGTGTGTGTGTGTGTGTGTGTGTGTGTGTGTGTGTGTGTGTGTGTGTGTTCTTCATAGGCCCACTTCCACCTGATGAAGAGTTTCCCAAGTCTCGGTCTATGGCATGCCTTATTCTTTTTGACTCACTTGGATTAATTTGAAATAAGAACATGCACACATTTTTTTTTATACATCAGATACCGCTGTATAATGGGGGAATTATTTGTACATTATGTACAAAAAAAAACATAACTACAAATTACAAATGTATTAAGAAAATGTGTAAATGACAGAACAATTAAAATGGAAAAAAAGAAACCGTAATAACATATTCTAAAAAAATTATATTGTAAACCAGAAAAAAAAAAACTATATGAAATGTTTTGAGAGATATGAAAAGTCGTAAGTATTTTCTTCAGAAAAATCATTGGAATTAAATCTACATTGAAATATGAAGTAGCCTACTACTATTGATGTATATAATAAAAACAAATACAAAAGCAAATTCATTTGAAGACCATTTAAGTGTTTATTTAATTATATATTCAAACTTTTTCTTACCAACAACACCATCTGTTATATTTTCCATAGAAGGCACCATAGTTCTAAATGTATTTTTTTTTTTTTTACAGGAAGAAAAAATGCGTATTTTCTAAACTTGCTGTTCTTTTTGTCACTGTAGTCGTTTCATTTAACTTATTACTTTTTCATAATGTTTATTGATTGTCAGTGATTGCAGTGTGTGGGTAAAGCACTGTGGACATAATATTTTGTTTATTTGTGTATAAAATATGCAATGTGCAATAAATGAGCTGGACAAATAAGATAAACATTAATAATTGATCAATTATAATGGATAATAATAATAATAATAATAGAAAGTGATCATTTAATTGATAAATTGTATATTTCATAATTTAAGAAACATTGAGTTGAACAGCTGAATTTAAGTTGTAGTTTACAGTACACCTGGATAAGCTTTGATTTATTTCCACATGTCAGTGTGTAGAAGGTTAATTACTTAATTTTAAATGGGTTAAATAAATGTGAAATTGTACTGTTCTCTAGAAAGATAACCATTATAATGAGTTACTACTGGAGTAATTACTGTAGTCTTTGGTTGTTTGTTTTTATTATTCTATCAGTAGCATAATTTGGCTTTTTGGGGGGGTATTTCTTATTACATTGTATCACATCTTACTGTATCGTATCGAATAAAACTCTCATCAATGAATTCCCTGCATTAGTAGAAATACATAAGCCTCTCTTATTCTCTCATAAGTAATGCCCGTTTGTATTGGCAAAGTATAGATTTCTCTCTCTCTATCTTTTAACTTTTTTTTGCAAAACATACAGAGATTACATTTTTATGACAACCAACTTGTATACAATATACAAAATGTATTAATATGTTCAATGTCATCAGAATACATGAGAAAAGAACAATGAGCTGAAAACTAAAATAAAAAAAATAAAAAACGATGAAGGAAAGATATTAGGCTAATATCAGTTAAACTGTTCACATTGTTTCATGTTATGTTTAAATTTTCATAAAGTTTAAGTAAGAAATGTTAGTTCATAGGTTTCATAAGAAAGGTTAGGGTCCAAAGTTTTAAAGTTGAGACACTGACACACAGATATAACGCATATTTGAAAAAAAAATTGTAAAGTAAAAATAAAAAATAATAATTTATTTGCAACCGTTATGTTAATAGCATACACTCACCTAAAGGATTATCAGGAACACCTGTTCAATTTCTCATGAATGCAATCCGAAGCCCAGAAGTGTAAACAGGAAACGAAGACCAATTGAAGGTTAATATATAATGCCGACGAACTAGCGCTGATGAAAGCCGATGTCGCCTCTCGTCCCCTCTCGTCGGGGTAAAAAGCTGCACTTGAACCATGACTTTGAGAGAACAGGCGACTGTCAGCTAGAATGTGCGTTCTGCGTCTGCGTGCAATGAGCCAACTTTCTATTTCTGCAGATATATTAGTCTATATTCGTCATTCAAAAAGGAAAACCGACGCTGCCGCCGCAGATAACGTTACACATAACGTAAACAAAGCAGCGCATGCTTACCGTTTTGAATACGCGGGCATCCCCTTGTCAACATGTCGAATCGGGCGAAATAAACCCGACGCAGGACTATTTTGAGCCGACGGCACGGAACCGCGTGGAACACACCGAGGAAACTAAAGTTGTTTTCGCGCCACTTCCGCCACTTTCAGATGTTTTCGCGCCACTCCCGGTTGCTGAGCAACGCGCGTGAGTTTGACAGCTGCCTGTCAGAGTGACTCAGTCGTTTTTTAGGATTGTATAATCTTGTAAAAGAAATGTACAAAAACAAGCAGTGTGTGGACAATGCACAGTAAGCGTGTGTGCAGCTTTCATCATATGATACATACATTTAATTAACTTTTTTTTTCAATTCTGCAATTTGCGCCCCGTCCAGCAGATGGCGCCCCAGGCGGCCGCCTGTGTCGCCTGTCGGCAAAGCCGGCCCTGGGTGTGTCTAACAGCCAGGTGTCGGTCATTACCACTCACGCCACCGGCCTCGCGCCACTCTTATGTCCCTGTCCCTCGGCCTCAATATTATATCGCCACAAACAATATTATTTCAGCAACATGACGAGCCAGTGAATTAACAGGTTTCAATTGTTGCTTTGCACAGTGCGTGACATTTTATCTAATGCGGCCAAAGTTTTGACACTGAGTCAATGGGCTCTGTCTAATTCTTTCTTTTTCGCTTGTTTATCGTCTTCCTTTTACCCTTCGTTGTTTTATAAGCAGGTTCCACTCGAGAAATTGGCAGTTTAGGTTGTTTCTCCGCCAGGGGCTATTTTAGGATTTTCCTTTTAGGGTATGATTAAAAAAAAAAAAAAGTAGGCTAAAAGTAAAAAAACAAGTTAAAAGTTTAATTTAGGGTCTAATCCTCAATTTCATTAACACTCTCAGAAAAAAAAGGTACGAAAGCTGTCACTGGGGCGGTACCTTTTCAAAAGGTACACGTACCTAAAGGGTGCATATTGGTACCTTCATGGTACATATTTGTACAATTATATGGTACCAATATGCACCCTTTAGGTACAAAAGTGTACCTTTTTGAAAAGGTACTGCCCCAGTGACAGCTTTCGTACCTTTTTTTCTGACAGTGTACCATGAAATTGCAGGGTGTTATAATCACTGTAGTCCTGAATATGAGTTGCGTTAGTTGGGGGTTCGGGGCTTCCCCGAGAAAATTTTGAATTCTCTGAACTATTATGTCCAATTTGAAGGCTTTTTTTTATTTATTTTTTATAAAACCATGTCAGTGGGCAGCTGATTATTTTTCTCTCCTCATCAGCATCACACTCTTTTTCTCTTAGTTTTTCTCTTGCCCTGTTTCTTGCCCTCCTAAAGTTGAGCTTTGACTGATAATTAGGCTTTTCATTTTTGTAAAAAAAAAAGCACACTTGGGATAAAGCGCTTTCTGATTCTGATGTCTATACGGGGCTGTGGACAGGGCTTTAAATCAAAGAGGTCCTCCTACATTTGAGGTGGAGGTTTGGGGGTAAAAAATTTTAATCTCTGTTATGTGCATTTCAAGACGTTTGAAAAAAAAAGAAAAAAAGAAATAGCTTTAAAACTATGTCAGTAGATTTGTCAATTCCTGCTCATGTTGCTTGTCTCCTCATTGTGCCCTTTCTCTCCCCCTCCTAAAGCTGAGCTTTTTTTATTTACTAAAGGCTACAATTTGTATTATATTTTCAATATGTACACATTTATTATTAATCATGTACCTTACATGATGAAAACGGATTTGTTAACGCTTCTTGTCTCACAATGACAGTAAACGAATTATTAGGCTGACGTTACATGCCTAATTTCAGTTCAAAGGGGCGAAATTAGATAAAACTATATTAGTTTTCTTGATTATTTTTTGTCATTCGTTTAACATTGGTCAACATGACCTCAAAAAACTGTCAAATATATAACGTTAAAAGTTTAGCTACTTACATCTCGCACTTGCCCGTGCACTGAAGTCGAGTCGTGCTGCTAAAATTCGCGCTCAGCTTCTGTGAATGTACTGTAAAGCCCGCCTACTTTGATTTGATAGACCAATGGGCTCAGATGAACACACACAATTTCCTCTCTTTTTGACGAGCTCTCTGCTCGGCGCACTGCGGATTTAAGATGTAGAACCCGCTGAATCTGATTAAAACAACACTGAAGCGAACACGAATTTGTGTAGCATATTAATCACAAATTTTGTGACGCCCCTGTTCTCCGCCATTAGCACAGCTGCAGCACACCGCAATCTTGAGTTTGGTTTGAATGACGGCGCGCTGTGTAGAGCGCTCTTTTCTGATCAGCGCGTCCACGAGCATGATTGACACTGCTAAGACGCGCCCCCTGGCACTGAGTGGTTGTTTCTGACCGGGAGCGTTGTACTTCTGCAAATGGCAATAGGACCACTGGGAGGAGCCAGAGGAGCTTGCTTGATTTATTTCACAGATCATCTATCTCATAGTCTACTGTCAGGACATAATGACATTTTAACAAATATGTAAAAAAAAAAAAAAAAAAAAAAATTGTTTACAAGTTACCTACTGCAGCTTTAATAACTAATGATCTTACAACGGAAGTGAATCAATCAAAACTAACCTTATCTGGACAATAACTCTATTCTAGATCTGCTGTAAAGCCTAAACACTCTCTGTTGTAATCTCCTGTTATCACTGTAAAGCTGCATTGAAACAGCTGTATTTCTAAAAGCACTATATAAATAAAGGGGACTACACTTGACTAATAATTCACTATTACATTGTCTTATAATATTTAATCCTGTTTACTCACAGGGAAAAAAAATTGATACTATTTAGTTTTATTGGTGCATTTTAATGAAATCAAGATTATTCCTTGTGATATATAACTGTTTTAAGCACTCATTTATTAATCAATCAATCAATCATTATTTTCAATTAGATTTTTCACACATTATCACATTATATCACACAATTTGAACCCAGTTTGAAAGGAAGTTTGGTTGAAATTATGGTTTCTCTGATAAAAAAAGCATTGCCATTTCAGAGCAAATACACGATTATCAAGATATATAAAAATATTATTAATGAGCTGAAAAACTTTTAGATATATTTTTATAGCCATATTGCCCAGCCTTAGTCTCCTATGATTGCTTCTACTTGCTTTGGTGCGACTCCATCTGAGCACAACACGAAATGAGTAGATGTTTCAAGGCACTCTTTAGAGGGTTTAAGACAGACAAAGCAAAAATCTTTGTGACATTTCTTACATGTCATGATTTTACATCCCACCTTCAGGTGTTCAATGAGCACACCACAAAATGGGCAGGCACGAATCGCTGGACACTGGACATTTTGCACAGATTTTAAAGTAACCATTGAACAGTCTTTAAGTAATTCCTGGTCCTTGATGTTGCAACCTACATTATCGCACTGATCCTTACGAGGTCGAGGGCCTTTCCACTCTCTCTGACACTGCCAGCAGAATTCATAGATTTTCCCGGTCTGTTTTGTGCAAACTAAGCACTCTACGGCGAGATTGGTGGTGTGCACCCTCTGTATAATAGTGCCACAGCCGGGACACTGCAGAAAGATCACATACACTGATGAAGAAACAATGACAGGAAATATACATATATATATAGGCCAACACATATACACTGTAAATATTTTAAATCAATAAGATAAAGGTAAAGACTGTGTACATACATCCTTTATGTCAACTAACTTCTTAGCTGCATTTGTTCCAAGCACATCCTCAAAACCTATTCGCTCATCATTTGTGAGTTTGGCTGATTTGCGGACTTCCTCATATGGCCATTCTTTCTCACACAGTGGACACTTAAACACCATTTCTCCCTGAAATTAAATAACAAAGCTTAAGGTTATAGGCCTACATCATAGCGTTAATATGACAGTATACTTTATTTCTAAAATACATAGAGGTAAATATTTTTATAGGATATTTGGTTTTTCCTACATTCTGAACATCACAGAAAAACTGCAAATGAACCATAAACAAACCAGGAGAAACAACTCCCCTTCCAGAAATAGGCTTACTTAACTTTAAATATTGACTGTGCTCTAAAATTACATGTAATAAAATAACTACACTCACATTTAACAGTTGAACTTTGCAACAATCTGTCAGTGACATCGGATCTGCGACATGATCGCAGGACAGCTGAACTCTTACAACCTCAGGGTCATCGTCGAACACATCTGAAATATTCACACAGGCTTGATTAAAATCATATCTAGCTTATGGAAGCTTGTTTCCGCCACAGAATGAAAAATAAAAAAGGTAATTGCGACTTTTTATCTCACAATTCTGACTTTTTTTCTTATTCGGTGGCGGAATGAAGCTTCCATACTGCTGTCACATAGCGTTCATTAAAAATAATAAGCATTGTTAAATTTGTGCCACATGAAAAAACCTTCTGAAGATAGCGGATTGTTTTCATTACGATTTCGATGCGAGCTTGTGAAGTTTGGGATTTAAAGTAAAAATGTGTTTTGCTCGCTTAAATTTATTTGCTGTATATGACCCAATAAATCGACGTAGGCTATAAAAAAATAACGAGCTTAACTTACCGAGATCGCTGGGTTTTTGCACCACTTTGATGTCTGTGTCGGATAAAGTGAGTTTTTTAAAGTTTTCGGCCATTTTATACAGCAGTGGATTCAGTCTTCAGTGTTGTCTCAGCTCTGAACAATATGTTTCACTCTTTAAATGTGAAAGTAATTCGTGTTTAAGTATTTGGTCCTCACGCATATTCTCCTCCCCCTTAAGAGTTCAGTCCTGACATCAGGCTACAGATCTGATTCAACTCTATGTTTGCGGTTTAAATAAAACATTTATAATATAGCCTTCATTAGCCTTATTAAATTGCATTGATAGCTAACTCATGTTTCAATAACAATCGATCCAGCTGCAGCAACGTAGCCTATGCGATTGGTTATGAATTGTTTTACACTTGGATTCAGGGATTCATCCGTCCTCGTTCCTTTTTCTTTCGTTCTATCAAGGAGGAGCTAAAAAGCAAATAAAGCAAATAAGGAAATAAAGAATCGATGCAGTATTTTAGACATGAACAGCGCTTAATCGCTTGTGTCATTGTCAATGAATTTGATACTGAATTCATTCTTGCGATTTAATCTTCTTCTATCCGATCTGCACAATCTCTCTCTGAGGTAAGTTTTCAAATATCAATAGGCTAAATGATTTCCTATTGTAGCCTAACCTATCCGAAGTGTAAGACGTAATGAGGTCATGTAAGTAAGGTAATAAATCATATAGGGATGAAATGAGGTTGATTGGAACACTTTTTGTCATTGAGATGACTGGAAAAAAGTGTCCCAATCAACCTGAACTCACCCCTATCGATTTGAAACGAAAATTAGGAATGCTTTTTTATTTAGCCTAATTTGTGTAAAAAAAAAAAAAAAAAAAAAAACATAATTCAGAATTTCTAAATGTTCAGAGACACAGCTGGTACACCATGAAAAAAAATGAAAAACTTAAAGTATTCGGCATTGGGCTATTTCAGTCCCCCTAAGGTTGTTCACCAATCAATCAAACTACTTCGGAATGTCTAATAATTGTAATGAACAGAAATAATTATTGCATTTAAATAGGCTACTTAATTATAGGCTAAATAATGTATTATTTTATAATTTTTGGCAATAATGTAAATATTTATTACATTTCTTGAAAAGTGTTTAAAAAAGCAAGATGTTTTTAAATAAACAGACTATAGGCCTATATGTCTGCCTATAAAAATGTAGGCTCCACCCACATGTAGAAGATCAAAAGTATTCTACCTTTTATATCTTCGAGGCGTATTACAGTCAGGGAGGGTACTGTCAAGCTTAACAACTCAAACCTATGACATAAAATTAAGTTTTAAAATTGTTTTAATCTATAGAATATAGCCTTATTTCACAAGGAGCAGTGGCCATTTCTGGCAAAAAACCTCAACCCCATCACACTCAGCCCTGTCACATCTGTATATTTTTCATTGTTTCTGGGGTTTTCACTTCATTTATGAATAATTTTAATATTTTTTTCAGTAAAAATATACTTACCAAATTCGTGAAAACTCATAATTTTGCTATAAACAGAATATTTTATGTAATGTGTCCAGTTAAACATGACAAGCATCAGAAATGGCAGCCACATCAGCATCAGAAATACAGTGTTGTGCAAGCAGATGTGTTGACCCAAGGCACAACATAAGAGAGAGCCCAAATTAAAAATATAAATTTAAAGGCAATGTCTCCATTCAAACCTGTTACAGTCTTCAACCCTGTCACACTATTCTCAGGGGGAGGAAGGAATGGAAGGCAATTAAAAATGAAGGCATTTCTTGCTAATTACCACCTAACACAATAAAATTGTGGTTTTAGGTAAACATCTCCTTTGATTTTTTTTTCTTACAAAACTATTGAGTCTGCAGATCGGACAATTTGTTAATTTCAAACTTTAGTCCCATAAAAATGTGAAATTATCATAAATGTTACATTTGTTGTTATAAAATTGTTATGAGGGACACATTGGCAGTAGGTATATGTAAAATCCAATTAGTACACCTTACTTGAAAAAAGCATTCAAACCGATTGCACTCTAAAAACTGAGTAAAGTGAATTGTATTTATTGTATTGTTTTCTTAAAAACTGACACAGGGGTGGTCCACACAAGTTTGCATTAATGTACACTGTAAAAAATATTTTCAAGATTTGTTATCACAACATATTTTCTTTTGTCAAATCAACTTTATAATAATTTATTTATTTGAGATAACTTATTATTTTGAGTTTCTGATGGTTAAATTAATCTCCTTCATTGTATTAACTCACTTTTTCCAGTTCAATCAACTCAAAATTTTAAGCCAACCAGCTTACTTACTTTTTTAAGTTAAACCATCAATATTTTTTTACAGTGTATACAATTTATGTAAATCACTTTAGGTTTTAATAAAAATAAAAAACGGAAACACTTTATAATAAGGTTCATTAGTTAACATTAGTTAGTGTATTATCTAACATGAACTAACAATGAGCAATACATTTGCTATTGTATTAATTCATCTTTATTAATGTTTTAATAAAGCTGTTCATTGTTTGTTCATTTTAGTTCACAGTCTATTAATGTTAACCTATACAACCTTTGATTTTAACAATGTTTTAGTAAATGTTGAAATTAATATTAACTAAGATTAAAAAATGCTGTAGAAGTATTGTTAATTCTAGTTCATGTTAACTAATGTTAACTAATTAACCTTATTGTTAAGTGTTTCCCAAAAACCTTTTACAGTCCAACAATATACCATTTTTTATATAAAATCTGAATTAAAAAAAAAATTGAGACCATACCCTGACTCTAATACATCCTCAACAAACAGCTTTAACAATTCAATAAATAACAATTAATCACTTAATAATACTTCGGAGACCAAACTTGGTATAGAAGTGCAAAAAAGTGGCTACATTCATTAGCCTAAACAATGAAAAAGCAATGTCTCTGACACACATGTACATTAGAAATGAATACGCTGACAGCATCTTAAAGGGTTAGTTCACCCAAAAATTAAATTTCTGTCAGTAATTACTCACTCTTATGCCGTTCCAAACCTGTAAGACCTTTGTTAATCTTCGCAACACAAATGAAGATCTTTTTGATGAAATGTGAGATCTTTCTGTCCCTTCAAAGACTAACGTCATTGCGACTTTTAAGGCCCAGAAAGGTAGTAAAGACACAGTTAAATAGTCCATGTGACTACAGTAGTTCAACCTAATGTTATGAAGTGACAAGAATAGTATTTGTGTGTAAAAACCCCACCAAATAACGACATTATTCAACAATCTCTTCTCTTCCACGTCATTCTCCAACGCTGTTGACGTAGTCTAAACAGTGCAGCACTTCTGGGTTCTACATCAGAACGTAGGCTTATTATTGGCCAACGCTGGTCATGTGTGATGCTGGCCAATAATAAGCCTACATTCTGACACTGAACCCAGAAGCATTGCGCTGTTTACACTATTGTCAACAGTGTAGGAGAATGACGTGGAAGAGAAGAGATTGTTGAATGTAGTTTGTGGCGAGTAGAACGAGGCAGAGGGCCGTATTACATTAGAGTAATTACTGACAGAATTATCATTTTGGGTGAACTGATCCTTAACCATGAACTAATGGGCAGACAATTTTAAACAAGTGGCTTAGTTTCCTTTTTATTTGTCTATCAACTAATCTAATTCCACGGTCATAAACGAATTTAATCTAATGCATTAGATCAATACATTTCATTACTCAACAAGAGATTTTTCAGAGATTGCAGTTTTGGTAGGAGTTTGTTCTTTCCCAAACCAAGTGTTTTTCATGTCTTTTGTGTAATCCAAATTTAAAGCACAAGACAGACCTAAATAGATGCAAATTGTATAAGGCAGGTTCTGCAGATTATTACAATACCTCTCAACAATGATGGCAGTGGGCAAAGGTAGAGAGAGATTCTTCTTCGTCAATGACAGTCAGCACCCCAACAGATACTTGTGCCCAGGCTTCATCAACATCACAAACCTGAATGAAACCAAACAATAAAAATATTACCACAGGGAAGAGTGAAAAGGCATGATTAATTGTCAGTTATCTGCCCTGCATACATGTGTGTATTGCTCATGCATGAGCAGCCAGTAATTATCCTTTGAACAAATTGACAAGATTTAGTAAATACAAATTTTTTTTTTTATATTATTTGATATAAATATTATTACAAAAAGCACTTGTGTTGATTGTAAGCAAAACCATAATCAACTCAGAATAATAATAAAAAATTAAGGCTGCAGTAAACTCAACCCGGTATTAATTTGCTGCATAAGATCATCAAATTTCTCTCCAATGCTTCTTGAAGACTTGTGACAAAACGTGGTGTGTTGCGATCCACAGCACCATAAAAGTTACTCTGCAGTCGGTAGATCTGTGGTGACTATCCTGACAAACTCTGCAAACACCTACAGTACAACTTCATCTCTGCATAAACTGCAGGTTAACGTTACCTTTAACTGTAAATGTGCGCCATTTCACAAGATTTGTAACCTTCATAAATTATACCAATGCCAACATAGGAGAATGCGTCAGTGAAAATGCATCGGTTTTAAATTTAGGAAAAAAAAATAGCTTTTTATTATTATTTTTATTAAATCAGCTTATTATTTTGTTAGCGCATATTACTAGTCTTGTGGTGAACAATTAATCCGTGCAAGTAAATATATATTAAAAAATGTTTTACCTTAGTAATCTTTAATCAAAATCTGAAAAGTTACTTCCGGTCTGGAACGGTTTCTTTTTCTGATGACGTAGGTTTCACAGTTTGGGTGGGGAAACGCTTAACCACTCCCCTCAAACCGTTAGTTTACTATGAGCGAGAGATGCAGAGGAGGAGCGCTAGAGTAAAACCCTGCCCTCTGTTCAATATTCCGTTTCACTTGGAAATGTGTCACAGCACTGGAGAAAAATCGTTTGCAACTTCCGGTTCACGGGGACTTTAAAGGTGCATTGCGCAAGTCTCTGAGTTTTTGCAGAACTACGCCCCCTCTGGCAACAAGCGAAACTGCAACCACAGGTGTGCACGCTCATGGACCACACACACACACACTTGCACGAGCATGAGCTGTTCATATGGAGCAAAAGCCGCATAAAATTATAAATCTGCAAGTCATTGTAAATATATGAAAGGAAAGGCATTTGAGTAAATTACACACTTATGTGTGTGTGTGAGGGGAAAACGGGGGTAGAAAACTTCGGTTTTTGTTTCCATCTATCTCCATATTGAACTGTTTTATGTGCCTACTTTATCCACTTATGATTGTATTATTATGGAAACACGTTCATGAACAATATGAGTTACTACTTTGTATAAGACCCGTTTGAGCCCTAGAGCCGACCGGAGATCTCTCCATTTGTTGAAAGCTTCCTGATGTTGACTCTCGTCAACATACGATAAATAAAGGTTTTATTTTCTTTGTCTTACGTGGAGTTTGCGTTGGGGTTTGCGATGAACTACAAGCCAATATCTTTGAATCCTTTGAATGGAAAGCTGACTAGAGTTGTGTCCCTCGAGTTGTCTTCTCTGATACAGAGAATTGTGGCGAATTCACAAACCTGCCAGACATAGCCATGCGAGCATGAACGCGCATGACGTCACGCCAGTCTCAAACTCCGTCCCGAATCCCTCTTATTTATTTTACTGTACAGGATGAGGCGATCGCAGTGATCAGAGAAGGGCTCATTCAGCCCATCAGGCGATTGTTTAAGCATGTATGGGTTAGAAAAACTGGTATTTTTAACATGAAATATTGTGCAATGCACCTTTAAGGGTTTGAGAATAAAAGGTGTTTAAATCTGAAAAAAAAAAAAAACCTAAAGATAATAAAAGGTATTAATGTCTTAAGGTGGGAAAATATAATTTGTTGGAGGCTTGATATGTGCCTAATTATGTGTAGTATTTAGAAAATGTATTATATCTAGATTGAGTTTTAAAAACAAAGCTATTCAGAGCAACAAACACAATCCAGACAGGAAACTGCTGTGCAACAGTAGTAACAGACTGTCTAACAATTCTCAGCTAGGTCATGAATATACTGTAAATAATGAAAAGGAAAGGTGATGTGGTAAATGCCTCTGTTTTACTATTATTATTATTTTTGCAAACATCAAATAAAAAAAAATCATATATTTAAAAAATGCAATTCAGGTGGTCAGTGAAAACATTGTATATTGGAAATCTTTTGATTGTCATTTCAAGAGGTTCAAGAGAAGGAACATATCACAGAATCTTGTTTTTTTTTTTTTGTGTGTTGTACAAAATGTCCCAACTTTTCTGGAATTTCGGTTGTACCTTTACGAGAATTCTAGTCAATTATTCAATGGTGTGTGTTTGTAATTATATCAAAAAGTGAATGTGACTTTTCTATTTTGCAGAGGACACCACCCTGGTTGGCTCACCGGTTTTCAAAGAGAGATGAGTCAGCATATCTGAAGAAAAAAAAACTTTTTTTTCACAGCACACTTGGTCAGATAATAAGATTACTTGTAGCAACGTGGAAATTATCAAAGCTGCACACATGGAAGTTATTTTGTATTTGGTAGTAGGACTTGTAATACTGATGTTACTTCTAATAGGTAAGTTCAGTCAGATGAAAATACTGTCATCATTTACTCATCCTCTTGTTATTCCAAACCCTAATGATTTCTTTGTTGGAAAACATAAGAATACAAGAATTTTACAATAAATAAAATTCTAAAAACCTATTATATTAGGGTTTAAAAATTATTACATTTAACCTTTTACAATATGTGCATTCATATATATTTTTAGCAGGTATAATGTATTGCATTGTAAAGCTGAAGAGAAACCGTGACAGAAATGAGTCAAATGATCATCCTCTTGAGACAGTGAGAGTGGACGGAGATCCAGAAAAAGAACAAGAACATCTGCTGAAAGAAGACACTGATGGTAAAAACACATGCACAGTTAAACAATGTCTGTCTTCGGGTTATCCATAATCGACACACTCTCATGAACATTGGTGCTAAAACACAAGATATTCTCCATTCACTGTAATCAATCAAAAAATTGATTGAGAAAAAGACAGTACTCTTGAAAACTAAAAAAAGTAAAATGAATTATTAAGGACTGATCATGATAAAAAAACACATAAAAAAGATGCAATTATATTTTGTTGGTATTTGCACGTGTAAGTCTCTAATAAGAAATTATTTTTTAAAGAAATTATTAAGAAATTATAAGAAATTGTTATTTTATTGACAAAGTTCGGGAGGAACCAATCAGATAATTAACAGGAGTGGAAAGCACTCAGCAATCAACAATAAGAGGCGTATATATATTCAGCAGTCTCACCTCAATTCATTGAGAGTTTAGCAGTGCTTGGTTGATGGGTCTTGGGTCCAGTATCAGATGGAGTCCTCTATCCCTCTTAGCGGCACCACGAAAGAGCGGCTGTGAATCTGCTCTCCTGCCTGGGTGATCTGCGTCTGAACTGAAGAGAATACCTGTGTTGAATTATCCCCAGCACCCAAGGTGAAATGCCTGGAATCACTCTCCACGCATATAGAAAATGACACGCGGCCATATTAGTTATATTGCCGCTGTTGCCAGTGGCGATGTGTGTAGACTGGAGCCCTTCCCCAGCAAGGCTATACGCGCTGGCATTGTCACGGGTGGATTACAAAAAGTGGAGAGGAGGACTCAAGTGCAAAAAGTGAAATATTTATTAACAACTGAAAACCAAAACACAAAGAAAAAACCCACGAGGGGGGAAAAAGATAATAAATGAACCATAAAACTGAACTAAACTAGACACACGAAAACTGGATGAGAACAAGGCAAGGAATACGGTCAACAATAGTCAAAGATCCGACAAAGACAGCAAACAAGAGGAGGCTTAAATAGGGAACAAATCAAGAGGGAACAGGTGGAGAAACTCAAACACTAATCAGGTAACGAGGGGGAGGGATCAAACAATGACAGAGGCACATGGCCCAACATAACAAAACACCCATGTGCAACACAAGACAGGACAGACATGTGACAGGCATGGGGGCGGCTCATGGAGGACAGGCTGGCTGCCGAGTTGTGCATGGCGGGTGAACATTGGCAATCTCGCGTTTTTCCATTGGGAGGCCAGTAGGCACGGACTGCGACTCGGCGCTGCTCTGGGTTAGGGCGAGTGACACAGTGTTGAGTGCTTAAGTTATGTTTTTGAGAAAGTGAGTGGTGTTTTCAAAAAATGTGTTTTAGCAATTCAGAAAAACTGTAACATGTTATCAACACGTTAATTAATCCTAGCTATATGTCAAAACATATTAATTCATATTAGCAATGTGTTAAATCATGCTAGCAAAGTGTTAATACATCTTAAAACATGCTAATTCATGCTATATCAGAGTTCTAATTAATGCTAGCAATGTGCTAAAAATGTATTTGAGATCATAGTAAAGGACCTCCTGAGGGGGGAGAGGGAGACATCTGCAATGTTTTTTAATGCAGCATTAGACCTGAAGGACATGTACTTTGATGTCTCGATTTTACTTTGACAGACCATTCCTGCATTTTGCTTTTGAGGGTCGAGCATATCAGTATGAGGCCTCCCCTTTGAGCTGTCTCCCCACTGTTTTACGTCACAGAAGCTGATTTAATACATGTTAATTAAATCCAACTTATCCGGGTTAATAGTATGGCTGCATCTTCCCACCATAGACCGAAGACAAATGCACTTTACATTTGATGCAAAACGCACAATTACATTTGTCAGGAGGGCACATATTTTCTGAGTTTGCCTATTGTAATATCGGTTCAGTTTTTTAAATTTAAGGTTGGGTAATCCCGCCTTTACTTGCTCAGCAATATTCTCTTCAAACAGTTGCTTTATGGGAATCCACACTATTGTACAACAAATTGTTTGGTCCCACTTTATATTAAGTGGCTTTAAGCGCCATGTACTTACATTGAAACTAATAATTTGATACAATGGACTTATTGCATAAATGCATGTTTTTAGGTTGTACTCATATTTAAAAAAAGGCTGCATGTAATTACAGCTGTAATTAATGTATGTAATTACATTTGTAATTACACTTTTGACCCTTATCTTACAACTTAACCTACCCTTAAACTGACCCATACCACCACACCAGCCCCTAACCTTACCCGTATCACAGCTCAATATCAGCAAAAGTGTTTTACAATACAACATGAACACACTAAATACATTACATATTTTTCAATGTAAGTACATAATACTTAAAGCCACTTAATATAAAATGCGACAAATTGTTTTGAATGAAAGAAGAAGAATTTTAAATGTTATACACTTACACTACAATATATTTTTTTAGGTTCAAGAAAAGACACAGAACTTGAGAGGAAAAAAGAAGATCAGATAAAAGGTGACCAAGTGAAATCCAAGAACCAGAATCAAGTGGGAAATCTGAGAGGAGGAGAAGAGGAGAAACCGAATAAGGAGAAACTGAGAAAAGAGGAAGAGGAGAAACAAAATCAGGAGAAACTGCGAAAAGAGGAAGAGGAGAAACAGAATCAGGAGAAACTGAGAAAAGAGGAAGAGGAGAAACAAAATCAGGAGAAACTGCGAAAAGAGGAAGAGGAGAGACAGAATCAGGAGAAACTGAGAAAAGAGGAAGAGGAGAAACAGAATCAGGAGAAACTGAGAAAAGAGGAAGAGGAGAAACAGAATCAGGAGAAACTGAGAAAAGAGGAAGAGGAGAAACAGAATCAGGAGAAACTGAGAAGAGAGGAAGAGGAGAAACAAAATCAGGAGAAACTGGGAAAAGAGGAAGAGGAGAAACAGAATCAGGAGAAACTGGGAAAAGAGGAAGAGGAGAGACAGAATCAGGAGAAACTGAGAAGAGAGGAAGAGGAGAAACAGAATCAGGAGAAACTGAGAAAAGAGGAAGAGGAGAAACAGAATCAGGAGAAACTGAGAAAAGAGGAAGAGGAGAAACAGAATCAGGAGAAACTGAGAAAAGAGGAAGAGGAGAAACAGAATCAGGAGAAACTGAGAAAAGAGGAAGAGGAGAAACCGAATAAGGAGAAACTGAGAAAAGAGGAAGAGGAGAAACAAAATCAGGAGAAACTGCGAAAAGAGGAAGAGGAGAGACAGAATCAGGAGAAACTGAGAAAAGAGGAAGAGGAGAAACAGAATCAGGAGAAACTGAGAAAAGAGGAAGAGGAGAAACAGAATCAGGAGAAACTGAGAAAAGAGGAAGAGGAGAAACAGAATCAGGAGAAACTGAGAAGAGAGGAAGAGGAGAAACAAAATCAGGAGAAACTGGGAAAAGAGGAAGAGGAGAAACAGAATCAGGAGAAACTGGGAAAAGAGGAAGAGGAGAGACAGAATCAGGAGAAACTGAGAAGAGAGGAAGAGGAGAAACAGAATCAGGAGAAACTGAGAAAAGAGGAAGAGGAGAAACAGAATCAGGAGAAACTGAGAAAAGAGGAAGAGGAGAAACAGAATCAGGAGAAACTGAGAAAAGAGGAAGAGGAGAAACAGAATCAGGAGAAACTGAGAAAAGAGGAAGAGGAGATACAGAATCAGGAGGAACTGAGAAAAGAGGAAGAGGAGAAACAGAATCAGGAGAAACTGAGAAAAGAGGAAGAGGAGAAACAGAATCAAGAGAAACTGAGAAAAGAGGAAGAGGAGAAACAGAATCAGGAGAAACTGAGAAAAGAGGAAGAGGAGAAACAGAATCAGGAGGAACTGAGAAAAGAGGAAGAGGAGAAACAGAATCAAGAGAAACTGAGAAAAGAGGAAGAGGAGAAACAGAATCAGGAGAAACTGAGAAAAGAGGAAGAGGAGAAACAGAATCAGGAGAAACTGAGAAAAGAGGAAGAGGAGAAACAGAATCAGGAGAAACTGAGAAAAGAGGAAGAGGAGAAACAGAATCAGGAGAAACTGAGAAAAGAGGAAGAGGAGAAACAGAATCAGGAGAAACTGAGAAAAGAGGAAGAGGAGAAACAGAATCAGGAGAAACTGAGAAAAGAGGAAGAGGAGAGACAGAATCAGGAGAAACTGAGAAAAGAGGAAGAGGAGAGACAGAATCAGGAGAAACTGAGAAAAGAGGAAGAGGAGAGACAGAATCAGGAGAAACTGAGAAAAGAGAAAGAGGAGAAACAGAGAAGAGAGGAAGAGGAGAAACAGAATCAGGAGAAACTGAGAAAAGAGGAAGAGGAGAGACAGAATCAGGAGAAACTGAGAAGAGAGGAAGAGGAGAAACAGAATCAGGAGAAACTGAGAAAAGAGGAAGAGGAGAAACAGAATCAGGAGAAACTGAGAAAAGAGGAAGAGGAGAAACAGAATCAGGAGAAACTGAGAAAAGAGGAAGAGGAGAGACAGAATCAGGAGAAACTGAGAAAAGAGGAAGAGGAGAGACAGAATCAGGAGAAACTGAGAAAAGAGGAAGAGGAGAGACAGAATCAGGAGAAACTGAGAAAAGAGGAAGAGGAGAGACAGAATCAGGAGAAACTGAGAAAAGAGAAAGAGGAGAAACAGAGAAGAGAGGAAGAGGAGAAACAGAATCAGGAGAAACTGAGAAAAGAGGAAGAGGAGAGACAGAATCAGGAGAAACTGAGAAGAGAGGAAGAGGAGAAACAGAATCAGGAGAAACTGAGAAAAGAGGAAGAGGAGAAACAGAATCAGGAGAAACTGAGAAAAGAGGAAGAGGAGAAACAGAGAAGAGAGGAAGAGGAGAAACAGAATCAGGAGAAACTGAGAAAAGAGGAAGAGGAGAAACAGAATCAGGAGAAACAGAAAAAAGAGGAAGAGGAGAGACAGAATCAGGAGAAACTGAGAAAAGAGGAAGAGGAGAAACAGAATCAGGAGAAACTGAGAAAAGAGGAAGAGGAGAAACAGAATCAGGAGAAACTGAGAAAAGAGGAAGAGGAGAAACAGAGAAGAGAGGAAGAGGAGAAACAGAATCAGGAGAAACTGAGAAAAGAGGAAGAGGAGAAACAGAATCAGGAGAAACTGAGAAAAGAGGAAGAGGAGAAACAGAATCAGGAGAAACTGAGAAAAGAGGAAGAGGAGAAACAGAATCAGGAGAAACTGAGAAAAGAGGAAGAGGAGAAACAGAATCAGGAGAAACTGAAAAGAGAGGAAGAGGAGAAACAGAATCAGGAGAAACTGAGAAAAGAGGAAGAGGAGAAACAGAATCAGGAGAAACTGAGAAAAGAGGAAGAGGAGAAACAGAATCAGGAGAAACTGAAAAGAGAGGAAGAGGAGAAACAGAATCAGGAGAAACTGAGAAAAGAGGAAGAGGAGAAACAGAATCAGGAGAAACTGAGAAAAGAGGAAGAGGAGAAACAGAATCAGGAGAAACTGAGAAAAGAGGAAGAGGAGAAACAGAATCAGGAGAAACTGAAAAGAGAGGAAGAGGAGAAACAGAATCAGGAGAAACTGAGAAAAGAGGAAGAGGAGAGACAGAATCAGGAGAAACTGAGAAAAGAGGAAGAGGAGAGACAGAATCAGGAGAAACTGAGAAAAGAGGAAGAGGAGAAACAGAATCAGGAGAAACTGAGAAAAGAGGAAGAGGAGAAACAGAATCAGGAGAAACTGAGAAAAGAGGAAGAGGAGAAACAAAGAAGAGAGGAAGAGGAGAAACAGAATCAGGAGAAACAGAGAAAAGAGGAAGAGGAGAGACAGAATCAGGAGAAACAGAGAAGAGAGGAAGAGGAGAAACAGAATCAGGAGAAACTGAGAAAAGAGGAAGAGGAGAAACAGAATCAGGAGAAACAGAGAAGAGAGGAAGAGGAGAAACAGAATCAGGAGAAACTGAGAAAAGAGGAAGAGGAGAGACAGAATCAGGAGAAACTGAGAAAAGAGGAAGAGGAGAAACAGAATCAGGAGAAACTGAGAAAAGAGGAAGAGGAGAAACAGAATCAGGAAAAACTGAGAAAAGAGGAAGAGGAGAAACAGAATCAGGAGAAACAGAAAAAAGAGGAAGAGGAGAGACAGAATCAGGAGAAACTGAGAAAAGAGGAAGAGAAGAAACAGAATCAGGAGAAACTGAGAAAAGAGGAAGAGGAGAAACAGAATCAGGAGAAACTGAGAAAAGAGGAAGAGGAGAAACAGAGAAGAGAGGAAGAGGAGAAACAGAATCAGGAGAAACTGAGAAAAGAGGAAGAGGAGAAACAGAATCAGGAGAAACTGAGAAAAGAGGAAGAGGAGAAACAGAATCAGGAGAAACTGAGAAAAGAGGAAGAGGAGAAACAGAATCAGGAGAAACTGAGAAAAGAGGAAGAGGAGAAACAGAATCAGGAGAAACTGAGAAAAGAGGAAGAGGAGAAACAGAATCAGGAGAAACTGAAAAGAGAGGAAGAGGAGAAACAGAATCAGGAGAAACTGAGAAAAGAGGAAGAGGAGAAACAGAATCAGGAGAAACTGAGAAAAGAGGAAGAGGAGAAACAGAATCAGGAGAAACTGAAAAGAGAGGAAGAGGAGAAACAGAATCAGGAGAAACTGAGAAAAGAGGAAGAGGAGAGACAGAATCAGGAGAAACTGCGAAAAGAGGAAGAGGAGAAACAGAATCAGGAGAAACTGAGAAAAGAGGAAGAGGAGAAACAGAATCAGGAGAAACTGAGAAAAGAGGAAGAGGAGAAACAGAATCAGGAGAAACTGAGAAAAGAGGAAGAGGAGAAACAGAATCAGGAGAAACTGAGAAAAGAGGAAGAGGAGAAACAAAGAAGAGAGGAAGAGGAGAAACAGAATCAGGAGAAACAGAGAAAAGAGGAAGAGGAGAGACAGAATCAGGAGAAACAGAGAAGAGAGGAAGAGGAGAAACAGAATCAGGAGAAACTGAGAAAAGAGGAAGAGGAGAAACAGAATCAGGAGAAACTGAGAAAAGAGGAAGAGGAGAAACAGAGAAGAGAGGAAGAGGAGAAACAGAATCAGGAGAAACTGAGAAAAGAGGAAGAGGAGAAACTGAGAAAAGAGGAAGAGGAGAAACAGAATCAGGAGAAACTGAGAAAAGAGGAAGAGGAGAAACAGAATCAGGAGAAACTGAGAAAAGAGGAAGAGGAGAAACAGAATCAGGAGAAACTGAGAAAAGAGGAAGAGGAGAAACAGAGAAGAGAGGAAGAGGAGAAACAGAATCAGGAGAAACAGAGAAGAGAGGAAGAGGAGAAACAGAATCAGGAGAAACTGAGAAAAGAGGAAGAGGAGAAACAGAATCAGGAGAAAAAACGGAAAAGAGAGGAAGAGGAGAGACAGAATCAGGAGAAAAAACGGAAAAGAGAAGACGAGCAAACACCAAAAGGTAAATGTCAAGTCAAGTCATATTTATGTTTATAGAGCTTTATACAATGCAGCTAGTTTCAAAGCAGCTTTAAGGCCATTGCACACGAAATATTCGTATGCGTATTTTCGTGTTCGTCAGCTTAAAAATTCGTCACGCATAGAAACCTTGCACACCGAGTCCGTTGCGTATTTCTTAAACCTTTGCGGGAAAAAACGCAAAAATACCAAATGGATTCGTCAAGCAGTGAGGATGATTTTTGCCCTCTCTTATTGAAAAGGGAAGAAAGAGAAAATATTACGTCCATCCAATCCTGAAATTGTGCCGAGAGGAAGGAGAGTTATCAAGGAGTTGCGAATTTATCCTGAGCGATTCAAAATTTACCTCAGAATGTCAGTGGGACAGTTTGATGCTTTGCTAGCGATTCTGGAGCCACATATTAAAAACAAGACCACCAATTTCCGTGAACCAATCGATTCTGAACGGAGACTGGCAGTGTGTCTGAAATGGACCAGGTATGGACACACACACGGACAAACACACACCCGCGCGCGGCCCGTTGGAAGCGCTGGGCAGACAGAACAGCTAGGCTGTTATTGTGTATACTGTATTGTACCCAAATAATACATTAGTTATCGAATAGGCTGCTCAATCACACCTTATTCGATCTTAAATTTCAATCTGATTGAAAGGGGAGGTTTATTAATTTCATAATCCAATATAGAGAAAAGAACATAAACACTTGATCGAATTGAAAACCGAAACTGAAAGCACGGCGCATATGTGCAATGATTTGAGGACGAGCTCCCCCGGCCCTGAAGTGTCAAAAGACCTTTCAAAATGCTGGCTCTGGATGCGAAAAACGCAGAAAATCGAACCCGATCCGATTAATTTTATGACGGACGAAAGTTTCGGAGGCGGTGTGCAAGCGTGACTGACATAACGTGAGGTCGAATTTTTTTTTTAACGTGCGAAAATTTCGGATGCGAATTTCGGACTCGGTGTGCAATGGCCTTAAACAGTGATAACTGGACAATTATGCACTTTGGCTGATGTTTAGCTGAAGTCAGTTCAGTGTTGAATCAGTTCCATTTTAAGAATCATAAATTATTAAATTAGTTCATTTAATCTATAAATCAGTTCCAGCTCAGTTCATGTTATCTTGTTCTGTGTGAACCAATGGCTTACTGTGCATTCACACCGCCGCCGGCGAGAGCGCCAAAGTGGCCAGAAGTCTTTCATTTTCAATGAGAGCCGGCGGCGAGATCTGGCGAGGGCAGCGCGGCGCGTCTTGGACGGCGAGAGCGGCGAGGAGAGTTGAAATAAGTTAAACTTTGTGGTAATAAGCAATGACGCGGTTCGGCGGCAACCAATCGGAATGTAGATGTGCTCCGTTTGAGAGAATCCCAGAAAACGCAGTCCTGTAAACTTGGTTCCGGCCACATTAGTTCCCAAGCAAAATAGAGGAGGTTAATCATTTGAATTTGATAAGAGGGCGCGCAACACTATTTATAGGCAGGATTTTCGTGCTAGAACACTTTTTCAGCGGGAATGCAAATTATAACAGCACTTAACCATGAACACAAAAGCCACACCACACACATATGGCTTTTAATTTGTTTATTTCATTAGCAAACATGTCACTATAATTTTAAAGTTATTTCCATCGATCAATTTTCTGCAAAAATAACGACCGACATGCTTGTTTGCTTTGCGGCCCCTTTAAATACAGTTTTAAAAAAGATCCCGCATTCAATCTACGTCAGAGCATCAGAGCGTCCACGAATCTTTCCACGGCGTCGTTGGCAGGGCGGCGAGAGCGAATTTTGCCGCTCTCGCCGGCGGCGGTGTGAATGTATGGTTATGAGTGTCCCTCATTAGCTGTGTGTTCGTCTCTCGTTCTTTGTAAGCTCGTGGCTAGCGATTGGTTATCGCTAGTCATGTGCTTGAGTGTGATTTCATGTTTGATGTGAGCACGTGGCTTGTCTTGTTATGCTTCCCTGTGCCATGTGCTCTCATGTCTATTGTCCGACCCCGCCCATCTTATTATCTGATTATTGGTTCAGTTTTCCCACCTGTCCTTCTTCGTTACCTGCCTTGTTTGCTTATGTTCCCCTGGCCAGATCGTTGTCACATCGTCGCATGCTGTTACTGTTGCCATGCCTGTCTGATGATTCCTGTCGTGCATGTTTCCTGCCTAATCAAGTCTAGCCTGTAGTGTTTTCCCCCACAGGCTAGGTTCTGTTTCTGTTTTGTTTTACTTTTATTTTAATAAAGATGGGCTCTTTATTCCATATAGCCCATATTCCATATACTTCAACCATTACCTCAACCCATGACAGGAATATTAAGTGTCCCCAACTAAGCAAGCCAGAGGCAACAGTGGCAAGGTACCCAAACTCCATCAGTGACAGAATGGAGAGAAAAAAACTTGGGAGGAAGAAGATTCAGTTGGGAGGCCAGTTCTCCTCTGGCCAACGAATGAATACGGTATCATTATGATTCAGGCTGCATCACAAGTCAGAATTCAGATTGGGATCGGTAGCATTCAAATATTCATCTAGTTCCTTTTGCTTGAATTTTGATCAATTCATCACACCGGTATAGAGCCGAAGCTGGCCATAGGGTCTGTGCGGAGGACCTGCTTCGCAACCAGGCTAGGAAGAATATTCCAGAGCTTCGGTTATAAATAGGAAAAGGATACCGCTGGTAGCTGTACCGCTGGGCGTTCTTTGAGGAGGACGGTTCCGAGGTGCGGATTTCATCTTGGGGTTCGTATTTTGATCTAGTAGTGGGGCTTGAGATGGGCCCCGCCCTTTCTCAGCCCTTACCTGCTGGATCCAGTGCCTCTGCCCAGGAAGGAGCCCGCGCTATGGTTTCTCCTCCCCAGGTTGGGGCACCAATGCTACAGCTATCCAGTTCTGAGGAACTGGATATCGTTACTATTGATACTGGGGACTAAGAGTCTTCGCCAGCTCATACCCCCGTTGATGAGGAGCTTGTGGAGGTCTTGACTCGTGCTGTAGCTAAATTACATATTGACTGGCCAGCCGATGATGTTGAAACTGAATCGAAAAAGAGCCTTTTAGATGAACGATATTTGCCATCTAGATCACAACCTCCTTGTTGGGAACTCACGTTTTTTCCCGATCTCCACACTGAGGTGAGATCTCCATCACCGAGATCGTGGAATAAACCGGCATACAAATCGGAGTACATAATCCACAAACACACAACTATAGTAACATTAAAGGTATGTCACACTATGGTTATATGACAATGCCTCGTGTGGAAGAGACGCTTGTGAGCTCTCTCTCCCTCCCAAGTCAGCGTCATCACTAAAAGCCCCCACGTTATCCACCAGGCCATTAAAAAATACATCTTTGCTGGTGGGTAAAGCGTATTCGGCAGCAGGTCAAGCCGCGGCATGCTTACACACTATGTCTATTCTCCAAGCATACCAGGTGACCTGCTGAGGGACATGGACGATTGTGAGGAAGTTAGTGCTGACGCAATTCGAGAATTGCATCGCACAACAGATCCGGGCCACCAAGGAGACGGCCAAATCTGTAGGTCGTTCTATGGCAGCCCTGGTGGCCATGGAATGTCATCTGTGGTTGAATCTTTCTGATATTAAAGATAGAGATAGGTCTGTTCTTCTGGATGCACCGCTTTCACCTACAAGTCTGTTCAGCGACACAAAAATTGTGTCGTCGATAGGTTTCAAGAAACTAAAAAACAATCTACAGCATTCCAGAGGTTTCTTCCTCGCCGTTCCAATGTCCCTGAGACTGCTCGTAATGTAAAAGTTGAGCAGTCTTGACCATCTAGCTGCTCCTCACAGCAGCACAGAGTGCAGCAAAGACAGAGCGTCACTGCTCAATCTGGGGATCCTGGGTGGCGGTCACAGTCCAAGCCTGCTAGGGGAAGACAAGATCTGAGGACTGTCATCACCAAGAGAGCTTGAACTAAGAAGAAGTCCTGACGCCCAGTCCGTCAGACTTCTCAGGGTGGTCCCCTCCAGGGAGGGACATTTTCAAGAAATCGTTCCGCCTTTGCACCCTCTGGGGGGCGATTCTCCGAGGAGCATCGCTGCCACTTTGGTTATTCCCTGTCAGTTCGCCGTTTCAGGGCACCGAAATGATTGTTCAACCAAATCCACAGGCCAGTCTCGAGAGAGCTTTTGGCAGTTCGAGATGTTGAGATGTCGTTCTGTCCCACATAAAGAGGTTGGGGTTGGGGTTACACCTTGTTATGCCCATTTTCACAAGATGTAAAACAAGTCTTTGATGTCCCCAGAGTGTGTGTGTGAAGTTTCAGCTCAAAATACCCAACAGATCATTTTTTACAGCATGTTTAAATTGTCATTTTTTGGGGCTCAGAAAAACGCGCTGTTTGAGAGTGTGGCCCTTTAAATGCAAATAAGCTGCTGCTGCTGCCGGCACAGGGGGCGGAGCTTCATGTGCTCGCGCTCAGTCTCTCAGGACAATTTCATCTCACGATAATATCAGAGACTCTCAGTAACGGTCGGTGTTCATTTCTAGTCGGACAATAATGCCTACAGAGTCAGAGTGCTGTATAGAGATGGAACAGGTATAGTTTAGTAGTTTCTTTAGTAGTTTAGTAGTCGGCAACGCGTCATAGTTGGGGGGCGTGGTCAGTGTGGGGGAAAGCAGCGCGACCATCGTATGTATTTGAATGACAAAAATGTCATATTGCGAGTCATTTATGTCTGCCGACCGGAAACGGTACATTGCAAAATGAACTGTAATAGGTTAGGGTTGCCCTTATTTAATTAAAAACTGGGTCAATGACCCAACCAAATGGCCGGAGGTGTCGTTTCCAGACTATTGTAAGTTATCTGGTTGAATCTCCAGGTAAGACATCGCGGTAGCTACGGGTAACGCCAATACTCAATCAACTTGCGTATAAGTTACTATAAGTCCATGAAACCTTGTCACTTATTAATTGTATGCTTCACTCCAAACTATTAATCCTTTTGTAAAACGGTGATCAGTAGTAGCTGTGAAGTTGCAGAGGGACTTTGCTGACAGTTATCCGAATTCTCACAGACTGCAGTCTGATAACCTTCAGCTGATAACGCTAATGTGACTGAGACATCCCTTATGAAAAACAACTAAAGGAATCTTGTAGTATTTTAGGACAAATTATTATTAATCCTATAGGGACGTTAATCCTATAGGAATACTGTAGTATTTTGGGACATAGCCTAGAAGTATAGAGGTATTAAAGAACATCACAGAAGTATTATACACTACTATAGAATACTAATAGCCATAGGATTACTATAGTTCTTTTTCGTAAGGGATGTAAAGTCAGACAAATCTGGCCCACTGCCTAATACGAGTTAAACATCTACTACTATATCACACAGGGATCTCTACTTACACAGTAATCTAATAAGTTATGATTAATTTTGACATTTTGTCCTCCTATCCGGTCCTGTATGTATGTAAGAAAGGCTGTAGAACTTCAATTTATAATTTGTTAGTTTATTGGTGGTACAGAAAACGACACAGCAACTCTTCGGCATGATTGTCGAATGTATTTCAATGAGCGCCAAGGCAATGTTTTCCCCCACGGGCTAAATTCACATCACGTGACGGGGCGTTCCCAGACCAACCGACTGTATCTATAACGTATTTGTCATCTGCTTGTATGTATCCATTATTTATTAATAGCCTACAAGTCGGCTGTTTCGTACCAGGTCCGAATGATGATCAAACATATACTGATGAGTTTAATTAAGTTTATTGTACATCACACAAAAGATGAAGCGTCAGTTACACTTCAGAAAATCACCGTAAGAGCTGAGTAAACACAGTAAGTTATGTTGAGGGAGTTGAGGGAGCGTTCCTGTGCGCGGATGTTAGTCAAAAAACGGTTCTACTGACGTCATTAAAGAAGGAAGTAGAGGGATGTAGTCCAAACGGGCCGTTCGATGTAGGCTACTTCTGTTAAATAAAACATCTCGCTTGGCATTGAACTTTGAGCTTTATCATTTTAGCCTACTCTAACAACAACATTACACACCAACTAAACCTTTAAAGGCCGTTTTCTCACACTTCCAGTGATGATTTTCCACTTCTGTACCACCTACACCAAACTTTACAGCCATATTCCTAACTATATTGTGAAGAGGGATTTGTTGATACGTCATTCTTGGCCTGATTTATATGACATGCCTAAAAATAGGGAGGAAATCTATTTTTAAGGCTATTGGCAGTCACTTCAAAATATATGCAAATTAGCACATATTTAATTAGTTATAGCCTGATTAGCATGTTTAAACATAACATTTGAAAACTTGCGCTACATTTTTTTCTCCTACTTATGCGAGTAATCAACTGGTAAAGTTTCATGGTGACATCTGTAAGTTGAAATTTTTATCCTATTCACCTGCAGTGTCTCACCTTAATTGTGTATGTTTAATTTGACTTTCACATGCATTATCTTTGTGATGCATTATCTATTTTTTTTGCCTTTCTTTGTTCTCTTGGGTGATATTGGTATAATTTTTTTTAATTTAATTTTAATTATTTTTATTTATTTTTTTTTAAAATCTTAACATTTCAAGCAGAATTCTGTTATATTTTGAAACACTCTGTAATCAAACCTCTGTAAATCAAACCTCCATACACCTACTCTATATGTTAACTCTGAAATAACTAATTTCATGCTTCCATTTAAAAGTATATTAATATCAAATCACTTTGTTAAATTGATTTTGAAGGATTAAGAAACCAGGGGGCCACATGCTATTTGAACTCGGTGCTGCAGATACTTTTCATGACAGAAGATTTCAGAAATAATGTGGAAAGGTGAATTTTTTTGTTGTATTGATCATTAATGCTGCTGCATAAAATTTCTAGTTATAACAGTTCTGTTTTACAGCGTCAAGACAAATGATTTTCACATGGCACAATTGTTTAAGGATTTAAAGTCTAGAGAGAAAAGCGCTGCCACCACTGAGAGAATCACAGATGCACTGAACGTTAACGGTTGGGTTTTCATTTGTCATTCACACATAAAATTGTTAAATGAAAATGTGATCATATTTATTGGTGAATTTAGTGAATTGGTGAAAAAAAAATAGTTTTATTCTATTAATTCATTATCTAAAAGTGTGAATTTTGTTTCATCAGTTTATGAGCAGCAGGATGCAGCAGAATTCTTTCAGAAGATAATGAACATGGTGAATCAAGAGATGTCTAAGGTGATCAGACCCTACAAATTATTCACATTGAAAGTTTTTTGGCTAGATTGTGTTTGATATAGCTGGGCTGATGATGAAAAATAAGGGACACTGTAAATCTATGGACATGTTGTTATGGATGAAATGGTGAAATACATGTTTTCGATAAAAATCCATTTAAAAACATGCTCTGCAAAATATAAGCACATATTAATGTTAGTTTCCACAAACATATTTTCAGGTATTCAAGGGAGAGTTTGAGCACAACACCATGTTTAAAAGCCCAGGAAAGGAGCACATACCTGTGACATGTCATGAATCCTTTTACATTATCCCCATCTGTATGGAAACGTATGGCATGGATTCTGCTAAAATAAACATGGTGAGCATTTTCAGTCATGTCACCTTTATTTATACAGCGCTTTTTACAATACAGATGTTTCAAAGCAGTTTTACTGAAATAACAGGAAAATAATACAAAAAAAGTTTGTCTCTGCAGATCTAGAAGAAAATAGCATCATAGTCTATCTTAACCCTTAAGTTCAGTGATGGTTCATTTCTTTTGTAAAAAAGTTATCGATTTAGTTCATTTATATATATATACAGTATATATATATATATATATATATATAGCCGCTCTGGAGAAAACTGTGATGTCATCGTCCAGCTCAGTTCAGTTTTCATAAAATCAATGCAGCTGATCAATAATATTGTTAAATATTATACAATATATTCAGACCGGTGGCACTCACGTCACTCATGAACTTCTGTGAACATATTAAGGAACTTGTTGATATAATTTTTATTTAGACATCACACATTCAACAGTATGTCCAATTAAAAGTTTATATTCATCCTTTAATATTTGGATAAAATAAAACATTATAGTAAAAAAAAACAATTAAACTGGCACTGTTTATTGTATTTCAGCAAAGCTGTTTCGACTCATATTTCAAACCAATCAAGACATGTGAGGACGGCCAAGTGAAATGTCCAACTTGCAAAGAGCTGGTGGTGGACACAGAAATCGTGAGTTTTAACTTGTAAATGAGTTATAATTTTATTTTTATTTTTTAGCTTAATATATGAAATGTTATGGTTCACACTGACTTGGACATCACATTTATTTTCCCCCTACATTTATTGCATTGTAATAAGCAATAGAATTTAAATTATTTGCCTATACATTTTTGTAGAGCAGAACCAATCACACAGATGATGCTTTTATAAATGAGGATGGCGGATTACTTAAACATACAATTGTAATAAGCTGTTCTCTCTGTGTTTTTCTTTTTCTTTTTCAGAAGTGTAGTATACGTAAACTTCCTCCAGTTCTGGTTGTGCAGCTGGAGAGATTTCAGCTGGATTATTACACCATGAAATACAAGAAGAACAAGTCTACAGTGGAAATTCAGTTCCAGTTATCAGTGAAAGTAGGTTGAATTTGCAATTTATATGAAGGATTCAAAAATGCTATTAAATCATAAATCGTAGCCATAAATCATGTCTTCAGTATGTCAGCTGTTCAGTTTAAAGTATAATTAACTCAAAAGCTAAAGAAGACATGATCTAAAAGTTTCGATGAGCGAATGCACTCATACATACAGTACACTGTAAAACCTTGCTGTAAAAAAAACCCCCAAAAAACGGGCAAATTCTGGCAGTAACATTGATCAGTAATATTAAAACAGTAATATGTTGTAGGAAGCAATGTCTAGGCAATATAGCAACATGTATATTAAAAGGTTGATAGTCGACACATTAAAATTATATCCAACACCAATATACACTATTCCCCATTAGTTTATTATAGTCCACCAAATAAAGGGAATGAAAACAAATGCGTGAATTCAGACACTGATGAACACCTGCTGATAACAAGCAGAATCACTGAAGGAAAGTGTAACTACTCGCTGGTTACAAAACAGTCCACGCTTCCGAAGTGCTGATGTCCATTTTATTTATTTATTCCAGAGACACCGTGAAAACTAGACACAAAAAAAACCAAACCATAATTTTACACACAACCACTACAAACACAAACCAACATAATACAAAGTATTAAAACATTCACCGTATTCGCCTGGTAACCAACAGTAGATTAAGTCAGGAGCACTAACATGGGGTCTTAGTTTCACATCTCATCATTATATTGACGCTGACACGTCCAGCTGAATTAATCAGCACACACAGGGTCACATGACACTCAACTTCAACAACAGAAAATAATAAAATACAAATGACCACCAAATTCCACAAATAAACCATAAAGTAAAAATAAACATTAACCACTGAACTACAACTGACTTCTAGGCACAGATTTAGATGAAATCAACTGAAGATAAAATATATTAAATATCTCAAGATCTGATTAAACAACTGCACAAACAGCATCACCAGCTTCACTTATTACTAACCAGATTGAATTTATTTCTGTCACACGTCTACAGACGTTCTTATTGAGAATTAACTGAGGTATAGATGTTAATGTTTTATTGAAAAATGTCCTCAAAAAATCTTTAGAATAGCCTTATAACACAAATATCATTCAGACTTGGCCCACAGGCTGCCCATTGTCTAGCCCTGAAATAAAAGAAACAGAATAAAAAACACAACTGATCTTTATGTAAAAATCTAAAGCTCCTTTTGTTAAGGACTGTACATTGTATAGTATGTGGTAAAAAGTGTTCAAAGCATGAACCAGTAACTTTTGGAGAACATGAGGGAGGCCAGCAAAATATTAGGCAGGTGGTTTTAATGTTGTGGCTGATTGCTGAATATGTTTAAAAAAAAAATAAAAACTCTATGTTTTACAAACCTGTGTTATTTATCATGGTCACATTCACTTATTCAATTGTTTGTTAAGTTTTTAATTCGTTTTTAATTAGTCTTTATCACAACAACTTTAAAAATGATTTACACAAAAAGTCATTTTGCTCACGTTAAGGCTCAATGAGTGAAAGCAACAAATACAGTATGTGTCATTCTGTGTTTCCTCAGGATTACAGTGAAGCTCAACACAAGTATGATTTGTATGCTGTAGTGAAACATTCGGGATCCTTCCTTGGTGGACATTATTATGCTGTCATCAAGTCATTTGAGGATCATCAGTGGTATGAGTTTAATGACAGCTTTGTACGCAAGGTGAACAGTTTTTCATATTTGGATAAAAATGAGTCATGATATTCAATATGTAATACTTGTTTCCATTTGTTACATTAAACAACATGTATTTGTTAATCATACTTGATGTCCTTTTTTAATTACAACAGTTAAAGGAATAGTTCACTTAAAAATGAAAATAACGTCATCAGTATTCACCCTCAAGTTGTTTCAAGCCTTTATGCATTTCTTTCTTCTCCTGAACACAAAATAAGATATTTGAAGAATGTCATTAACCAGACAGTTGATGTACCCTGTTGACTTACGTAGTATTTTCTTTCCTACTATGGAAGTCAATGGGGTCCATCATATGTCTGGTTACCAAATTGGAGTAAAGACCCTTACCCATGGTAACGTGACTGTAGAACCCGGTGTAGTTTTATTTACACTACATAGTACAGGCATCCAAACTCATCCAGAACATGAAACAAAACATAAACATGAACTTGAATCTAAACTTGACTCGACTATGAACAAAAACCTAAAAACATGACTAAGACTCGACTAAGGACAATGGCCAAACAGGGGGACTTTAATAGAAGGACAAGAGAAACCACATGACAATGACATGACAGAACTCTAAAGGTCGTGACATACATGATGTCATTGAGTGTTTGTGGCCCTAATTATTGTAGTGTGTCCTGCTCTGTTGGCACTAGTCAAATCCCCTTAACATTATGAAAAGAAAATAGTCTGGTTATAAAAAAAAATGTGGATTACTGACAATTTAGCAGGACTGGAGGTGTCAGAATAAACAATTGCATACTACCACACTTCTTATTTCTACCATAGGTGAGACAGAAGTAGTATGAATAGTAGGCCTAGTATGCCATTACAAAATGACCCCATGACATGCACAGTTTTGTTGTCATCAAAAAATCTGGCCAAACGTATATAAACAGTGACGTAGTCGCAGCTCTTGCAACTGATTATTTATAATTTGATTGTGATAGATTTAATTTTGTCTGATAGTACCTTTGGACATTATGATGTTAGGAACAAAGCAGAATCCTACAGGAGCCCCTAAAGAGACATGGTGTTGAAAAAAAAAAAGTGAGATGGGAGGGAAAAAAAAGATTTTTCAAAGTTTCTTGCGAAAATTTCAATATTTTGGTTTCGTCGCTAACTGCTAAATTTTCAGGAAGAGATCCTGCGAAATTCATTCATTTCATTCATTCATTTTTTCCACCATTATGTCCCTTTTGTATGACTCCATAGAATCCTGATCTTTATATGCAGTTATTTATGGCTGAAATATGAACGTTCTTGTGGTGTGTTGTAATGTTTCTCTTTTGCCTTTCCAGATCGATGATTTAAAAAACCCCTTCGAATGTAATGAGGCCTACTTTCTTCTGTACAAAAAGAGTTCAGACGAGTCAGGTATCTATTCATTGTTACTAATTTACAAACCAGAAATAAATTTAAAAAGATAATGACCTAAACTATGTGAATTTAAAAGATCCAATACATGACCAAATCAAATGTTAGTGGATATCTCGGATTAAATAAGTTTAGGTTTTCTTATAATTTCTGAGAGATCAAATAGAAAACTTTGGCTTGTGATGACCTTCTTGAGAATTGTGTGTATCTCCAAAAACACAGAGCATGGACAGAACACTGCAACATGTGGATTACTTTTATTCTGCCTTTATGTACTTTTTGAAGAGCTACAACTTTGATCCCTATTGACTTTCATTGTGTACACACAATTATGAGAGAATTTTCATTTTTGCTTGAACTATTCTTTTAACTATTCCTGATCCTCAACCTACAGAAAATGCTTCTCATGATCCAGGGAACCAGTCAGAAGATTAGAATAATGAGACTGATGCAACAGCAAACACCCAACAAAAACCATCAGGTGAACCTGTAACACAATCTCTGTCAGATCCGGAAATATAGCAAAAAAAACTTACATGTGCAAAACAGTCAAGCAATGCAACAAAAGAAAAAGCATCTGGATCTGCCCCTGAACATGAGTCTTCAGTTTTCCAGCATCTTCTGTATATTTGAGCCATTTCCAGCAGTGACTGTGTGATTTTGAGATCCATCTTTCACAATGAGGACATTTGAGGGACTCAAACTCTATTATTGCAAACTAGTCACTGACGCTCTAGAAAACATGATGCATGAAGAACATGGGGTGTTAACTTTTCAACAGGATGATCGGGGTAAATTGTACCTATTTTGTCTTCTAGGAAACATGTAAAAAGCTTCTGAAGGGCAGTACTAAATAATAAAAATAAGATTTTTAAACAATTTTAGAAAAATTTCCAAGAACATACTGTACTGTATCTGTATACTAATAGTATACTATACAACAGTTCTCATTCTGTACTCTATGTTTAAAGTTTAATTCATAAATATGGTTAAAATATGTGGATTCCTCCCAAAGGTTTCTTGAAATTTTACGTTGCTTCATCAATGATTTCCATTGTAGTGAAAAAGCCTAATAAAAAAAATGTGCTCACAAATCTTTTTTAGACTCGTTTCTACATAATAGAAAAGCAAATATCATGTGGGTAAAATAAAAAGAAATACTCAGTGGAAAACATCAGGTCTGATGGGGATACTATACTACTGATACTGATTGACTTTCATAACCCTGTCTCGTCTCCACCGATAAGATCTGATGCACTGTCCAATCCAATGTGCTCTTGTGATTCTCTGCGGTTTGGCATCAAAAGGAATGATTTGCACAAATGTCATGTAAACATGGATTTCCTGTTTTATTGGGCTGCACAATTAATCAACAAAAAATTGAGATTACTATCACAGCTGATACAAATTACATAATTTTTTGACATGTTTACCTTTTTTTCTAGAAATACAGCATTTCAAAAATACAGTTCTCAGTTTGTTTTGGCTTAAACTTGATACTAATTGGCAGTTGAATCTTGTATTAGTCAATCATTTACAATGAGGTTACAAAATCACGCAGGGATCATTGATATTTACAATGGATCTTTGTCATAAGACTTTGCTTAAAAGTGAAAACAGAAGTCAAACCCTCACCAACACACACGGTTGTCTTGTTTTGGAAATGATTGTGTAGTTATCAGCAGTAAAATACAAATTCCCCTTGAACAGGTCACACCACTGTTGTTGCTTTCGTTTTGTGTTCATGGAAAACATTTCCAGTATATCACGTTCATTCCAAGTGTAGAGGTGAAATAGGGTGGACCTCTATTATTTTCTGTCTTACATCTTTGGACATTGTTTTGAAATACACGCACACACACACAATAGAATTTATAGGAATAAGACTCTGTTCAGGGAACAGAGGTTACAGTCGTAACCTGAGACGTTCCCTTTCAAAATGGAACTTGTATATATAAATAACTATCGCGAGCTCATCCAGTGTGTCCTCGTGTTTACTGTCTATGGTGCTTGCAGTGTATGAGGTGGGCCGGGCAGCTTTGATTCCCTTATAGCAGTCGGCTGAGAGAGAGCGAGCGGGGTGATCCCCGAGGGGATTATCATGTCTGTGAGTGAATGTGGGCGCGGGACAGCGCGGACACATTCACTGCACTGAAAACACCGTCGGCCAGAGCTGACTGTAACGTTATGTGTGTTGGTTTATTTTTACAGAAACCGTGGGACATGTGGTGTGTAATGTTAGTGTTTGTGGGTACTACTGAGTCGAGGACACGTTCACTACATTTAATGTAACGTTATATTTGACATGAGTCGATTTTATTAGTGCGAGCCCTGCACTGAGGCGGGATGTGTTTAGAAATGAACACTGGGCTGTGGGCATTTTATTACACCCATTACACCATCGGCTGTGGCCGGAATACCAGAAAATACTACACTGCTTATCCACAAGTTTCCTACGCCCCATAAAGCCTTGCGTCAAAAGTGGGCGCGTCTTCCGGTTGGAAGTAAACAAAGCGCGACTTCACATGCTTGACACTCATTCATTCAACAGTCATTCAAGTTATAGCAATCCAAACTAGCTAACAATGAGGGAACACAACCTCAACAATTCAAAAGGGTGAATAACAGTACCTTTACCCTCCGCAGTAGTTGGTTGGGAGTATTATAATAACATTATTAATTAAAGCTGCAAGCAGCATTTAGCGGGGTTCAAGCAGTTTAGGCCTTTAAGGCCTTTAAGCACAAAAGCATCAAAAGACATTAAGGTTTAAGTTTCAATAATGGCAATTTACCATAGGGAATACATTGTTTTTAACATTTTTAACAGTTATAGCGCCACCTATAGTCCGATCTCCATGAAACTTTGCATGCTTGTTGAATACGTTATGACACATGTGCTCATCAATTTTTGTGAAGTTCTGACTTTTCCTTTAGGATTTATAGGCTTTTGGGTGCATTTTGTCATGCCCCCTTTTATTAATGACCCTGTTATAGCAAAACAAATGACAAAGTTCAACTTTTTTTTGATAATAATTGATCTAGAGAGTCCAAAGAATTGTCCCAGACTGGTCTGGTTCCGATCCGGCAAAAAACCAGGGACTAGTTCGCAAAAGTACGTTTTTAACATATTCGTGAATATTTAACGAACGATTTGATTGACAGCAATTGTTCTTGAGGCAAAGTTGTTCAGCGTGAGGAGATCTATCAATTGATATACATATTGTGGGGGTGTGTGCAACACCACGTGATAACAGAGCCATAAAACTCGTTAGCGCCAACTAGTGGCCGATTTCTTTCAAAATTCTTACAGACCTCTAGGGCCATGAGTCAAACATGCCCAACGAGTTTCGTTCTGATCGGGCTTCGTTAACCTTGTTTCATAGATGCACAAACTTCATTGGCCGATGGCGGCCATGTTTTTTTAGATACGCCAATGTCCTCATAGATATACATGGGGCCTTGGTCCAAGACACTGCATACCAATTTTCAAGTCAATCGGACTAACGGTCATGTGGTCATAGCCCTTTTTATGTTTTTTTCATATTATAGCGCCACCTAGTGTTCAATCGTCGCTATTTTTTTACTGTGACCTCAAATTGAACTCGTACACATGTGTACCGAGTTTGGTGAAGATATCTCATTTACTTCTTGAGTTATAGCCAATTTAGTAAAATAGGCTCCTCTCACAACGTTTATTTTGCTTCCCCTAGCGACCGGAAATAGAAATTTCAACATTTTTTTGATAATTATTGATCTTCAGACTCCAGAGAACATTTCTGCACTGGTTTGGTTCCGATCGGGCAAAAATCCAGGGACTAGTTCGCAAAAGTAGTTTTTCGACAAAATTCAAAATGGCGGAAAAATTTCCATACCGGAAATGAAATCGGAGATATACGTTTTTTTCGTCAGGTGACCAGCTTTCCAATGATATAAGACACTTGAGTGTACGACTTACGGTCTAGGAGTTATGAGCCGTTTCGCGCAATTGGTCGCTATAGCGCCACCTATGGGCCAATCGGGCTCATAATTTGATAACCTCTCCTCGATTTTTGTACTACCATCTGACAAAGTTTCAGAGCTCTAGCCCTTACGGTTTGGGCTGCACGATGCGTTTTAGGGGAGAATAATAATAATAATTAAAGCTGCAAGCAGCATTTAGCGGGGTTCAAGCAGTTTAGGCCTTGAAGGCCTTTAAGCACAAAAGCATCAAAAGACATTAAGTTTTAAGTTTCAATAATGGCAATTTACTATAGGGTATACATTGTTTTTAACATTTTTAACAATTATAGCGCCACCTATAGTCCGATCTCCATGAAACTTTGCATGCTTGTTGAATAAGTTATGACACATGTGCTCATCAATTTTTGTGAAGTTCTGACTTTTCCTATAGGATTTATAGGCTTTTGGGTGCTTTTTGTCATGCCCCCTTTTATTAATGACCCTGTTATAGCAAAACAAATGACAAAGTTCAACTTTTTTTTGATAATAATTGATCTAGAGAGTCCAAAGAATTGTCCCAGACTGGTCTGGTTCCGATCCGGCAAAAAACCAGGGACTAGTTCGCAAAAGTACGTTTTTAACATATTCGTGAATATTTAACGAACGATTTGATTGACAGCAATGGTTCTTGAGGCAAAGTTGTTCAGCGTGAGGAGATCTATCAATTGATATACATATTGTGGGGGTGTGTGCAACACCACGTGATAACAGAGCCATAAAACTCGTTAGCGCCAACTAGTGGCCGATTTCTTTCAAAATTCTTACAGACCTCTAGGGCCATGAGTCAAACATGCCCAACGAGTTTCGTTCCGATCGGCCTTCGTTAACCTTGTTTCATAGATGCACAAACTTCATTGGCCGATGGCGGCCATGTTTTTTTAGATACGCAAATGTCCTCATAGATATACATGGGGCCTTGGTCCAAGACACTGCATACCAATTTTCAAGTCAATCGGACTAACGGTCATGTGGTCATAGCCCTTTTTATGTTTTTTTCATATTATAGCGCCACCTAGTGTTCAATCGTCACTATTTTTTTACTGTGACCTCAAATTGAACTCTTACACATGTGTACCGAGTTTGGTGAAGATATCTCATTTACTTCTCGAGTTATAGCCATTTTAGTAAAACAGGCTCCTCCCACAACGTTTATTTTGCTTCCCCTAGCGACCGGAACGAGAAATTTCAACATTTTTTTGATAATTATTGATCTTCAGACTCCAGAGAACATTTCTGCACTGGTTTGGTTCCAATCGGGTAAAAAACCAGGGACTAGTTTGCAAAAGTAGTTTTTCAACAAAATTCAAAATGGCGGAAAATTTGCATACCGGAAATGAAATCGGAGATATACGTTTTTTTCGTCAGGTGAATAGCTTTCCAATGATATAAGACACTTGAGTGTACGACTTACGGTCTAGGAGTTATGAGCAGTTTTGCGCAATTGGTTGTTATAGCGCCACCTATGGGCCAATCGGGCTCATAATTTGATAACCTCTCCTCGATTTTTGTACTACCATCTGACAAAGTTTCAGAGCTCTAGCCCTTACGGTTTGGGCTGCACGATGCGTTTTAGGGGAGAATAATAATAATAATAAAAATCAGTACAAAAACAATAGGGTTTCAGCACTTCGTGCTTGAACCCCTAATTAAAGCTGCAAGCAGCATTTAGCGGGGTTCAAGCAGTTTAGGCCTTTAAGGCCTTTAAGCACAAAAGCATCAAAAGACATTAAGTTTTAAGTTTCAATAATGGCAATTTACTATAGGGTATACATTGTTTTTAACATTTTTAACAATTATAGCGCCACCTATAGTCCGATCTCCATGAAACTTTGCATGCTTGTTGAATACGTTATGACACATGTGCTCATCAATTTTTGTGAAGTTCTGACTTTTCCTTTAGGATTTATAGGCTTTTGGGGAGCATTTTGTCATGCCCCCTTTTTTAAATGACCCTGTTATAGCAAAACAAATGACAAGGTTCAACTTTTTTGGATAATTATTGATCTAGAGAGTCCAAAGAATTGTCCCAGACTGGTCTGGTTCCGATCGGGAAAAAAACCAGGGACTAGTTCGCAAAAGTAGGT